CAAGAGGCTGACTCTCAACCGCTTAGGGAGGGCTGTAAAGCAGTATGTAAGTCTAAGGACTATTGCTAGTGCTATCTAGATGTCTGTTTTTACTTCAGATTATAATATGTTAAATCTGCACTCGCAAAGGTAGTCGATACATCACCGTTGTAGTGTAGGTTGCATTTGTATTTGTTATCTTTGTTATGCTAGTATTTTATCTAATCTATTTGGGTGCTGTATTTCATCAAATGTTGCTGCTCGTTGGCCAAATAAATGCTATTTTGATTCCGAAAACAAACAGAAGGCAGGTTTGCTAATCCAGAGCTACCCAGCTAAGCACAATTCAGGGCTCAGGACACAGGAGAGCCGAATCTTCTGGGAACTGGGAACACAAAAGGGATGGAGAATGGTGTGCGCTCATCCACCCCTCCCTACACACACACACACACCTCAGCACATCCCCTTGTGTCCCTCACATGACTGCTTTACGCATCGCCCGAGTGCCAGGAGCAAAGGGCCACATGCAGCAGCTGCTACAGAGAGCCAGGAAAAAAGCCGTCGAGTTTAGGACACAAAATCTTTCTGCGGTGCCCAAAACTGCAAGAAGTCTGGAGCCGAAACGCTGGATGTGCTGACTGAGGAAGAGGAGGGAGAGATGCTTTTCTCCTCTCGTTTTTCAGCTCAGTTCAAATCAGTGGAAATAAAATAGATTGAACCAGGGGTGAAATGCTCCCGGATTAGACCGGATCGGTCGAACCGGTAGCGATTTTTCCCTGTGGTTCGGCGATCCGGTAGCGATCGCCGCCTGGGTGTCATTACTTCCTGGTTTTAACCAGGAAGTAATTTTTTTACCTTCTGCACATGTGCAGAAGATTTTGCACATGCACAGAAGATTTTGCACATGCACAGAAGGTGTGCGTGCGGCGCATGTACTTCCGAACCGGTAAGGAAAGTAAGTAGATTTCACCGCTGGATTGAACCATTACTCCAAGCAGCATCTGGACGCTTAGAAGGTGACAGAGAAACAATAACATTCAAGGGACATATTCTGGGATGCCCCAAACGTTTGGACCATTTGTTAAGCAGAAAGGAGAGCTAAAGGATGAGTGGTCCTGAAAACCAGTAGGCGGGCTCCGGCGGGTGCCCTGTCCAATAGGAGCAGGCTGTTCCCCACCCCACCCCAACACTTCCATGGGTCTGAGTTGATGCAGACCCAGCAGGAGCCACGAGAAACATCAAGAAAAGGAGGCCAGGCGGGGTCTTTGTGATGGGCTGGGGGTAGGTTGAGGGCCTTGTCATGTATTCCTGTCTTCTGCAAATGGATACTGGAGTTCCATCTTGCAGGCAAGCACACGGCCCAGATAAGCTTCTAGAGATCAACCAGACCGCCTGCCCCCCTTGCAAAGCCAGCTTTGAGAGACGCTCTTTTTAACTCAAAGTATTAGTACCGCCTTATAAGGCCTTGGTAAGGCCACACTTGGAATCCTGCATTCAGTTTTGGTCACCACGATGTAAAAAGAGATGTGGAGACTCTGGAAAGAGTGCAGAGAAGAGCAACAAAGAGGATTAAGGGACTGGAGGCTAAAACATATGAAGAACGGTTGCAGGAACTGGGCATGGCTAGTTTAATGAAAAGAAGGACTAGGGGAGACATGATAGCAGTCTTCCAATATCTCAGGGGCTGCCCCAAAGAAGAGGGAGTCAAGCTATTCTCCAAAGCACCCGAAGGCAGGACAAGAAGCAATGGGTGGAAACTAATCAAGGAGAGAAGGGCCTGGTGGCTCAGCAGACTAAAATCATTGTGATTAACACCAGCTGTCTGCAATTACTGTAAGTTCGAATCTCACCAGGCTCAAGGTTGACTCAGCCTTCCATCCTTTCTAAGGTAGGTAAATTGAGGACCCAGTTTGTGGGGGCAATAAGCTGACTTTGTATAAATATACAAAAGTATGAAGGCTATTGCTTAACACATTGTAAGCCGCCCTGAGTCTCCGGAGAAGGGCGGCATATAGATCAAATTTTTAAAAAAAGCAACTTAAGAACTAAGGAGAAATTTCCTGACAGTTGGAACAATTAATCAGTGGAACAACTTGCCTGCAGAAGTTGTGAATGCTCCAACACTGGAAGTTTTTAAGAAGAGATTGGACAACCATTTGCCTGAAGTGGTGTAGGGTTTCCTGCCTAAGCAGGGGGTTGGACTAGAAGACCTCCAAGGTCCCTTCCAACTCTGTTATTCTATTCTATTCTAATCTGTTCCATTCCATTCCATCCCAAAGAGACCAATGGGTTCCCCCCTCCCAAGACAGGATTCTTATTGGTCTTCCTCAGTTAAGCTGGGGTTCTCTAAAGATCACGTTAGTGGAATATGGGAAGCTGGAGAGCCCCATGTTGTGCACGTCAAGGACATGCATGTGCAGCCCAGAGAAAAAAGGGGGCAGGGACTGTACATACGGTTACAACCACCATCTCTGCAGAGCCCCTCGTGCCATTAAGGAGGGAGGGAACTCACGGGAGGGTCTTCTGCCAGTCTTCAGCCTTAAATCTTCCATGTTTAGAAGATGTGCAGCCTTACCGGGATTAAGTACTTTTTAAGACACCAAAGGCAGGATTTGAACTTTGAAAAATAGTTCCGCTCTCTTTTCTCAACCTGCTGCTTTTCGAATTGATAGACATATTTGGACTCCAATAATACGCCGGCAACAATTCTGGGGGCATTAAATTGGAGTAGTCAATGCTGGAGGGATGCCCAAGCATCCATCTTCCTAATAGTTTGGTTGTTCTCCAAGAAAATTCTTTCCAAGCCCAGCTGGTGCAAACTGGCAGGAGTTTATCCCACCCAGGAAGATAATTGAATTATGGCTCTATCCTGAACAAGACGTGTTAATTTGGTCTGTTAAAAGCACCTTAAATGGATTGTATCCTGCTTTTCCTGATGGATTTCTCTTGAACCGCTGAGATTTTGTTTCCGGACATAGCAAATTCTGCAGAGAGAAGAATCTGGAGGAAGCCTAAACTTTCACAAGATCAGTTGCCAATAGGTGGAGCATGAAGAAAATTGAAGCAATATCCACGCATTTCACATAAGTGGCAAGAAAGGAAGAGCAGAGCAGATTTTGGCCTCATCTTAAAGCAGAAAGGAATGCAGGAGTCAAGTGCAAAGATGATGGAATAAGGGTGAAAAGAAAAATAATATAAAGACACTGCAAAAAAAGCTAGCAAACTCACAAGCTCAGCTGCCCATCGCTTACTTCCTCACTTACTGTCTGCCTGGATTAACCATCCGTGGATGTGGACACTCAGGAAAGGAAAACAATCGGTCTCTGGAGGTTATGGAAGACCACACAGTCTAAGGACATGTTGATTTTCCATCTGTGGAAAATCAAAGCTTCACCATCCTCTGACTGTTTGCTAAAGCAGGCTCAGCTCTCTTTGAATAGCTGGCTTGGGGAGCCCCCGTTTCAATAGAGGTCACAGGACTTCGCAAAACAGCCCACAATCCAATGGAGGTGGATCCTCCATCATCCCTTTGTGAGTTTGCATAAAAAGTGGGAACTGTCACCACCATAAGCCGTTAAGCTTTGCTTTCATGAATTTCTTTCAGAGAAATGCTACCGATTTGGAGATGGGGTTCAGTGAAAACTTCAACAGCTCTGATTTTTAAAGTTGTATTGTTTCATAGGGTTTCTCCCCCCCCCCCAAACTCTTGTAAGCGGTATAGATAACAGAATAACAGAGTCGGAAGGGACCTTGGAGGTCTTCTAGTCCACCCCTCTACTCAGGGTGGACGGGTGGACTAGATCATAGCATTTCAGAGAAATGGTTGTCATTTCATACCATTTCAGAGAAATGGTTGTCCAATCTCTTCTTAAAAACCTCAGGTTGTTTAAGAAACTAGTGGCAAGCTGTTCCACTGGTTAATTGTCCTCGCTGTTAGGAAATTTCTCCTTAGTTCTAGGTTGCCTCTCTCCTTGATTCGTTTCCACCCGTTGCTTCTTGTCCTGCCCTCAGGTGCTTTGGAGAATAGTTTGACTCTCTCTTCTTTGTGGAAGCCCCTGAGATATTGGAAGGCTGCTATCATGTCTCCCCTAGTCCTTCTCTTCATTGAAGCTGACTCCACCACCTCTGTTCACACATTCACGCACCCAACCCTCTCCAAATTTCCATCAGGAAGATAGTCAGGGGCATTTCGGAAAACACAGACACAGCCTTATGTTCATGTTTTTATCAATTGGCAACTGCAGAATTGGAGCAGAGAGAGTTCACCCTCTGGATCAGAGGTCTTCAAACTTGGCAGCTTTAAGACTTGTGGACTTCAACTCCCAGGCATTTCTCCAGTAGTCCACAGAACCTTGCTTCTTCTTAAAAGAGGCATTCGGAGGTCTGGAGGTCTTCTATAGCAAGCATTACGTGGAAGTTCAGGAGAACATGATCCAATCTCTTAAAACAGTGTTTCTCCACCTCAGCGATGTTCAAGAACTGGGGGCCGAGGTTGGGAGCCCATTTTGAAATGCTACACTTGGCCTCCCACATTTTAGGGCTGTTTTGACAGGGTGGAAAGAAAGAGTGCCCAACTGGGACCCACTCATGCCCCTCCCACACCATACAATCCACTGTCCATATCTATCTGCGGTATTGTTGCCAATCCTTAAGTCTGGCTCCAGAGAGACCCCCAAACTCTCCACCTTCACAAGAAGAGTGCTGAAGACATGGGGGACGAGGCCTTGAATCCAGTTCCTACAAGGCTTCCTAAAACAATGCCGTAGACCAGAGGTCTTCAAACTTGGCAGCTTTAAGACTTGTGGACTTCAACTCCCAGAATTCTCTGGGAATTCGCTATGCTGGCTGGAGAATTCTGGGAGTTGAAGTCCACAAGTCTTAAAGCTGCCAAGTTTGAAGACCTCTGCCCTGGATGGGCAATCATTCAATGTTGCACCCTCTGAGCTATGCAATACCCACTCTTGAAATGATGCTTTCCACTGCCAAACTGTCATTTTATTAAGAATTGGAGACACAAATCATTTCTTCCTACACAAGACATATTTTATTAGGGAAAAACAAAATCACCCCGTTGCCCAATGCACATTATCTCCAGGCCTAAGCCAAAGGAAAACAAAGGACACGAGGAATTTAATTTTGACTAAACAGAGCATACAGATCACAATTGCGGCTACAACTAGCTTTGTGCTATTCATCCCCTGAAGGAAGTCACTCACTTCCAAACTTCTTTCCTTGAAAGATGCTGAATTTAGTTTGTGCTCTTTTGTTCTTAAATCTCTCCAAAAACAAACAAAAAAAGGGAGGGGGGAGAGACATTTCGGTATAAATTATTGCTGTAACTTTCCTGTGCATGTGATATTTGGCATATATATCTATATGACTTTACTCCTAACATCCTTCTACTGGTAAATTTCACAAGATTTATCTATATTGGGGGTTTTTTTCCAGACATTTCACAGTCGATCTAGTGAAATTTAAGAGTACGGTGATGTCAGGAGGCTAGTTAGAAGAGAAAGAGATAGAAAAGATTGGGGTTTTTTTCCAAAGTTTCCACAGTCTAGTGCAATTTAGGAGTAAAGTGATATTAGAAGGTGAGCTAGTAGCAACAGAAACATGCAGCTCCCAGGCCTTTACTATCTGGGCAAGGGTCTCATCGCTTCAGTGGGGCTTCAGGAAGGTGGAGTTACAAAAAATTTGAAGCTTCACCATTGACACATTCCACAGACACTCCTTGGATAAATATATATATAGACCAAAACGAAGTCCCACAGAAGTAGGAGAGAAGGAGTGAATATAGCTTCTAAAGCATCTGTTGTTTGGCTACCTATTACAGCTCATCATTTTAACTACAACCAGTTATCTTTTTAATGATCAATTAATGGGAGTTGCATATCTATTAAATCCCACCCCAATTTCCTGTGATCCATATGGCCTTTATAAAATTGATGCACTCCAGTGTATTGGACCACAACATTCCTGTCTCATCCAGCATGGCAGACACCAAAGACATCTGCTTTGCAAAGAGAAGACCCGAGGGTCAATCTGTGGAGTCTCCAGGTGGATCTGAAAGAGTCCAGCTCTCTGGAGGGTTGCTGCCTATCAGCGCTGAGGACCGCCACCAAAAATCTGTGATGTAACTCAGTGGAAAATGGCATCCTAGGTTCACACAGGTTAGTCCAAATCATTTGGTCAAAAGAATGGTTCACATCTCATGCAATGCCCCAAATATAAGCCATCTTGTGGTGCAGGCCATGGTTTCACTCCCAAGACAATGGCTGCGTTCTCACAAGCAACCTAACCTGTTAGCCTAAATCGAAATTTTGTGCAAAGCCAGACATTGTGCAGAATTTTGGCATTCCTGAGAATAACCCATGTGTCGTATTTAAGGTGGAAGGGACATGTTCGAAAGGCCAGGGACCAAGCATGCTTGCTTACTTAGCTATTATTCCACATCATTGACCCTGCTCGTAGTTTCCACAGTCTGTGGCAGCAGAGAGTATCCAGAGGCCCTGACCAAAAGGGCCAAGGTCGCATGGCCGAGATGCCACCACACAACTTTGGGATTTATGAGAAGCAAGGCTGCCGAAGAGCAGGGTGGTCTTGTCAGAAGCCCCCTCGAGGAAAGGACTTGCAAAGGGTCAGAGTTCCTGAGCCCAGCTGCCAGCAGCCAACACCACCCACAGTCAGGGAATTCACAAACCTGGGACAAAATGAGTACCATATCACATCGAAATATTGAGGAACAACAGGCGAACGTGAAGAGAAGAAACAGTTGCTTGGAGAAAGGTAGAGGCAAAAAAGGAAGGGCAAGGAAGTATTTTTGACTCAGTCGTCCATCCTTCCGAGGTGGGTCAAATGAGGAGCCAGATTGTTGGGGGGGGGGGGGGGCAAGAGGCTGACTCTGTAAACTGCTTAGAGAGGGCTGGAAAGCACCGTGAAGCGGTATATAAGTCTATTGCTCTTGCTATTTTTGATTTCTGGAGGCTCTACGTCCTGTACCCATCTGGGGAGCCTTGACCGATGAACCAAATGAACTGAGCAGATTTCCTATGTTGGGCAGGCAACTTCGTCTCTTGAAGTTGCTTTAGAGGACTTGGAAGCCAAGGCAGGAAAGTTGGAGAGAAGGCAAGACTCAGTTCAGAAGGAGACCCTCCTGGGGTCAAGGTCAGGAGTTGTGCCAACATAGCCATTACAAACATGGCAATGAGCATGGTGGGAAGGGGAGATGATCACAAGAGGCCAGACCTGGGTGGTTGGATGTGGAGGGATGGACAAGGTGAAGAATTCAAAGCATTTTAATACTTTGACTTCACGAAAGGTCCATATTTAGTACTGCTAAGCTGCAGACGTCAAGGGAAGGGAAAACTCGGTTTTCCATTAAGCATCTCTCTTCTCCCCATCCTCCCAAAATCATCCTCCCCCAATCCTGGATAACTGTTTACAGCAGGGGTCTCCAACCTTGGCAACTTTAAGACTTGTGGACTTCAACTCCAGTTGAAGTCCACAAGTCTTAAAGTTGCCAAGGTTGGTGACCCCTGCTTTAAAAGGGTTTGAGAAGGAAAGAACTGCTCTGCGGAAGGAACTTCTGGATGACTTCTGGAGAACTCTCATCCAGCAGGCCTGGTTCCAAGGACGATCCTCCAATACCAGCATCGGCTCCAAAAGACGTCGAGATGTCTCGTTCTCAACACTTGGTGCTAAGAGGTATCCTCCCCGTCTTCCCAGATTCTCCACTGAGTTCACCGTGGTTAAAAGAAGGAGCAAAGACAGTTGATGCTCAAAGCAGCTCCAAGTCCTTTTCCTGGAAGAAGAGACATCCTTGTTCCTAAGAGCGAGTGAAGGAGTCTTCTCTAGGAAGTCTGTGTCCAGGATGCCTGGCTGGGGACCGGGAGGGCCCAGGAGGCCTCAGTCTTTCAAATCAAGCCTTTACATCATTGCTGGGCCATCAGAGATTTCTTCTAACCGCTGCTCAATCATTATACGCAGCACCGAATACCTTAAAGGGACCCAAAATAGAAGAGTTATGAATTTACAGCAGCTTAAAGGAAGTGACTGGTGGGCTAATCAAGAGAGGAAGAGAATGGGATGAAAATGACTTCCTTCCCTGATTAACGTCTATGGAAATTCTCCATCCTTCAGGTCAGGGTTATCCCAAAAGTGATTTTTTTTCGAGAGGCGAATGGACTTTCTGGTTTTTCTTGGGAGACGTTTCTCTTCTCATCCAAGAAGCTTCTTCAGTCTTGAGCTGAGCTGAAGAAGCTTCTTGGATGAGAAGCAAAACGTCTCCCAAGAAAAACCAGAAAGTCCAGTCGCCTCTTGAAAAAAAGCAACTTTTGGGATTCCCTGATTAACACAAGGTTTTTTGTGCTTCCTTATCTATCTTTGGGTTCTTCTTTCAAGATAGGGGACATCCTTCATCTTTGGAAGCATCTATTAGATCCTGGAGCAAAACCAGGGCATTCATTGACATGCCCAATCCCTGCCTTTCCTTCTGTTGTGGAATGAAGGGACCAAACAACATTCCTGGGTCAGCCAGAGACAGTTTTATTGCGCAAGGTTCAGAGCCAGATTTGTACCTGAAGCTTTGAACAAGGAAAGAACTCTGATACAACTGTTTTTATACATTTCTAAGACAAAGGATTCGGTGAGATCATGCATTTTCCATATATGGTTAACATGAGATCATACATTCTCCCTATATGGCTAACACACACCTGTCATATGATAATTGACACATTTCCTAATTACTAAACCATTAGTAAACCATTATTTTTAGTTTATAAGATTATTTTAGCTTAGACAACCTTTCTTAAGTGCTTGTAGTTGCTTGTAGTTGCTAATGGGAAATTTACTGCTGTCCTTAGGTAAATTTATTGGATTAAGTAACTCTTTGTAACATATATATCTTTGTGTCATTCACAGTGAGGTCACTCAGATGTTTTCCATATGGCTGTCCTTCCGTGACATCTAGGTCTCATCAGAAGATATATTACCACTTAATGGGGTTTAGCTGCTTTTTAATATAATCTCCAAGCAAGCACTTTTCTCTCTTATAATAATGTGAATAGAGAGGGTCCTTTAGAGTTCATGTATCTAACTCTGTATGATTCCTTCTTTTATCCACATTACTTCCATTTTTGTATCCTATCTTTCTCCCCAAAATGAAAGTTATGCCTCCTTCAAATTTTTCTAATTTTTTCTGGCTAAGGACAGTCATCTTCAACCATTGTCCAATACTTTAAACACTCTCCCACTTCTGGTGGCCTCTCCTTACTCCTGTGATGGCACATCCTACACTCCTACAATGACTAAACGGACTGTTGTAAATTGAGGATTACCTGTAATCTACAGATTAGAAGATTACTCGAAATTTCCTTCGCTGTTGCTGGTTCCCCAGAAAGAAAGAACTTACTTGTGCTTTAATTTTTTCACTTCCCGGTCTTCCTCTTCTTCAAGTTTTTGGATAAAGCTCTTTAGAACAGGCATTTCAAATTTAATATACTGAGCAACCTGCAAAGACACATGAAGTATGGAGAAGTGAAGCAGATGGTTTACTGTAAATTGCTTGTAAGAAAATATATAATTTAATTGTAAATTTTTTAAATTATTTTTTTACTACTTAACACACACACACACACACACACACACACACACACACACCACTTGTCCGCTATTTTTTGGAAGCAGACCTGGCAACCCTAATTGTGCTAAGTTAAACACCCATCTCTTTAAGGGTTGAATGAGTAGATTTTGTGGGCCTGGAAAAAAAAAACCCGGAAAATAAGAATATGCGACCCCTGAAATAAATGTAGCAGCGAGTACTCAAAATAGCTCCCAATAATTTATAAGCAAGTCAATTATTAATATAGATAATGAGAAATAAATGCACAAATAAGTGAAGAGTTATCTCCTGGAGACATGGAGATTTTGCAAAGAGAGCCCGGCAGAAGTTTTAATGGGGGGCCCAACGTGTTCCTCCTGCAAAGAAGTTGGAAGCCCCTCTAGATGATAAGCGAAGGATGGATTCCCACCACACCACAACTCACATCATACGTGACTTCTTCCACCTGGTCTTTCTCCATCAAAAAAACCTTGGAAACCTGTTCACACGGCCCCTGAAGAATCCGGGCAATCAGTGGGTAATCTGTGACCTTGAGCTTCTGCTTCTCTGCAGGAAATAAGAGAAGAAGGAGAAGGGTTGGGAGTGGGACCCAGACCTGATGAACAACTCATGTTTACCAACAGGAGAAAGAAAATGGCCTCCCTCTAATACACAAATCCAGAACTTCTCCCAAGCTGGTGACTAAATAATGGTTAAATTAGGTGATGCGAAGGTGTTGAAAAGAAGAAGATGTAAATATCTGTTTTTGTTTGTTTTTTTTTAAAAAAAACTGTTTAATAAAAAATATTTTTTTAAAAAATGTGTGACTTCTGGGACTTCCAGAGCTCCCCAGCCAGCAAACTCACACATCTTAAAGCTGAGAAACACTCAATAACAAAATAGGCAAATACAACAATGGATTTTAATGTTAATATTTGTTCTGCCCTTACAAGTGTCTCTATCCACCTGCTCGCTGGAACGAGGCCCAAGAGAGGACCACGGGTCACGAAAAGCTTGCACGGAAGCCCTACCACTGCAAGACACAAACACATCCTCCTCACCTCCGCTGGTGTGTACAATGTACAAAGCAAATTCTTCCGCTGAGTTTTCAATCTGAAAAACAGGAAAAAAAGAGCATTAGTTCTCCACACACGCAGCCCTGATCCATCTCCCCAAACACTTCTTGTGTTGTGGCTCGCCAGCGGCCTGTGTGGATTGTTGCTGATCCCAACGACGAGGAGGCTGGTGTGGTGTCGCGCCAGCAGCCTGTGCAGCCGGTGCTCGCGTCGGACAGCAAGGAGGTGAAGAGGATATGGTGCCAGAGGCAGAGACTCAGCCAGGGCCTTCAGAACCTCCAGAGGCTCCTTCAAGTGGAGAGAGTGAAGTGGAGGAGCCTCTTCTCAATGCTCGAGCATGCAGGGCTGCCAAAAGGCAGGAGCGGCTACTCAGGAGGAGGTCTCCTCGAGAGTAAGGCTTGGGGTTAATTGGCCACTCCCTTAGCCTATTTAAGTTCGCACACAGATAGCAAACGTTGCTGGAAACAACGTTTGGTCCTTCGCAGAGCATTTTGAGAGTGAGTTTTTTTGTTACAACTTGGTTTCTGGGCTAATTGCCAACCCTTGTCGGACTTTGTTTAATCTCTGTAATTCATAGCAGGCTGATAAGGACATTTGTGGTTAAAGCCTGCATTTTGAAAGGGGTCTGTTTGTATTAAATGGAGTTTTGGGAGCTGTGTGTGTGTGCTACACTTCTTGGGACCCGTAGCTGGGGCAGAACATCTTGTTCCAAACAGGCCAAGATTGAGTCCCCGTGTTTAAGAAGTTCCAGATGTCCAGATCATCATTGCCTGGTATGCTGACTTCAGTTGAGTCAATCCGTTCTAGTAGTTAAGGTGTCAGCTTTGGAAGCCACATTAGGCCGGAAGCTTCCATGCTGCTACCTTCTCATGTGTGGGAAAGTAGTAGAGGGGTTGTCTTTAGACATAATAGCATTCTTCCTGTCGGTCAAGGTCAAGGCAATCCAGCATCTGGAGAAGGAGTGGTCGGAGTGATGTCTTGAGATGGAACGGATGGTGATTGGAGCATGTGATTGACAGAGGAGGGAGGGGATGGTTTGGGGGGAGGGGTTGATTTACTGAGGGAAAACCCAGACCTCTCAGATTCGGGTGTCAGACGTCGATGCTATCTCAAAATAAATGAATTTCCAAACTGCCAATCTTTAAGGAAATCTTTTCTTTAATTGAGCACAGCCACCGGATCATGACTCGATGCGGACAAGACTGACCTTTTGCCCCCCCCAATCCCTCCCTTTCCGATCCCCAAATCTCTGCTTCTCATTGGCTGTCTTCCAAGTCATTCTTCAGACTCCTTGTCTCGTCATTTCCCAGGAATGTCCCCCCCCCTTTATTTCCACAACAACCCGACTTCAAAGGGATTTAGCAGGCAAAAGTTCAGAGCTTATCTCTCTCTCTCCTCTGCTCTCTATGCCAGCGTCGAAGCGCTGACATCGGGTTTTCCCAGATGTGCCAGTTTACCTATTCTAGTAAAAAGAACTTTGAAAAATGCTTGCTTCAGAGTCTTTTCTTGGAGTGGGGGGTTTTCTGGAACGCTGACATAAGGCAGCAAACTAGAAATCCCAAAGGTGAGAACTCCAGTCCCGTTTTGGGCACAACTCCCGGCTAGGTGACTATGTGCCAATCACCAGAAGAGTATGAGTCCTAGTCCTGCCTTGGGCAAGACGGGGTTGTTGTTATGGGAAAAGTAGGAGGAGGAAGAAATATTAGGTATTGATAAAAGGAGAATATTTGTAGCTCAAGGTCGTAATGAAGGGTCCTTGGTGGTCTCTGACATTTCATGACCCAACTAGGTAACATCATCAATGCTGCACTAATGTTATCTAGTTTGCAAGAAGACAGCCAAGCTCAGGGAGCACCAAGAACCCCTCAATATTAGGCATGTTTACCACCTTGAGTTATATATAAACTGTCAGCGTCCCAGCACTGACATATAAATAAAGTGAGGAGAAGCCTGAACTTTTGCCTGCTAAATCCCTTTGAAGATTCTGTCTCCTCGGAGATGGGAGAGGGGGGAGACATTCCTGTGATCTGACGAAGAAGGAATCAGGAAAGTGACTTGGAAGATAGCCAATGAGAAGCAGAGAATTGGGGATCGGAAAGGGAGGGATTGGGGGGCAAAGGTCAGTACTGACCGCGAAAGAGTCAGGATCAGATGGCTGTGCTCGAATAAAGAGAAAATTTCCTTAAAGATCGACAGTTAGGAAATTCATTTATTTTGAGACAGCATCGAAACCTGACATAAACACTAATAAAGGTAGGATTAAAAAAAAAAAAAACCTAGCAAGTAAACCCATCAGTCTTTGGGACAAAATTACGACTTGATAGTGTTGAGTTGTTTTCGTTGTGCTGTAGAAAATCCCACCACTGATTCAGCTCCCTGACGAAGCCAGGAGACTGAAGGCCACTTTGAAGGAACGTTACAGACAGCGGGGGAGGCGAAGAGACCCCTGCACCCCTGATCAAGCAGGGGGTGTAATCCTTCAAATGCCCCCGGAACGAAGCCTTAAAAACAGGGTTTGCTTGGTGTATAGAGTAAGGGAGGGAATCATTAAGAAAAAGAGAAGATTTGGTGTTGGTACCCTAAGCGTGAAAGCTGGCCCACCCCTGATCTCACCTGCAGCGGAAACCAATCGGAATCAGAACAAAACATGCCTTAAATTTGTTGAGGAGCAGCTTCAGAACTTGTGGTGTAGTCATGGTGCTGTTGATTCGGACATTCGTGACAGAGCCATACGCTGGGGTGAACACGGACGTCTGAGGGAGGAAGCAGAAGGAGAGAGCAAGGTTCATGAGAAGAACCAGGCAAGGGACATTTGTTAGAGGAGAAGGAAGCTGTCACAAGCCATGCACAATGCGGGCGAGGACAATGTTCGATTAAAAGACGGAGTTCCCACAATACGATCGACTAGGTTGCTCCTCTCCTTGGTTAGTTTCCATCCATTGCTTCTTGTTCTACCCTCAGGTGCTTTGGAGAATAGATTGACTCCCTCTTCTTTGGGGCAGCCCCTCAAATATTGGAAGACTGCTAACAGGTCACCCCTCTTTCTCCTTAGCTCTAGGCTGAGTCTCTCCTTGATTAGTTTCCATCCATTGTCCCAAAGGTGCTGTTTTTTTCAAGAGGCAACTGGACTTTCTTTGAAGAAGCTTCTTGGATGAGAAGTGGAACATCTTCCAAGAAAAACCAGAAAGTCCAGTTGCCTCTTGAAAAAAACAGCACCTTTGGGACAACCATGATCTGGAGGACTGAGAATCTCTATAGACATTTCCACCCATTGCTTCTTGTCCTGCCTTCAGGTGCTTTGGAGAATAGCTTGACTCCTTCTTCTTTGGGGCAGCCCCTGAGATATTGGAAGGCTGCTATCATGTCTCCCCTAGTCCTTCTCTTCATTAAACTAGACATACCCCATTCCTGCAACTGTTCATCGTATGTTTTATTCTCGAGTCCCCTAATCATCTTCTCTGCAGTCTTTCCAGAGTCTCAACATCTTTTTTACAGATGTTCTTGCTTGGTTTGCCGAAGGGACTCCCCACCCTCACCCCCCCTGCCAGCACCCCAGTGAGGCTCACTTTGTGATTGTAGAAATGCCCGTTGATGGAGAAGCGATGGCGCTTGATCCGCCGCTGTTCGCTGGGGGTGCGAAGGTTCCCTCTGCGGCGCACGCCCACGTCGCTCCGTGTCCGCATGAGTTGGGGCGTCTCTTCTAGTTGAGCTTTGAACTCGTTGTCCTCTGAAACGCAGAGTTGCAAAGACGCCTTAAAAGCATGCAAACATCGGAGGCATCCGAAGGATCGGAGACGTTCCCCAAAAGTGACAAAACCAAGGTGGCTCCCCCCTCTCCCCTTGGGACGCACGTCCCATCCCTTTCCTAGGTGTGAGCACAATGCCTGTAAAATGGGGAGGGCTGCCCTCCTCCGAGTCCCCTCAGCTAGACAGTGTCGGCTGGCGGTCCCCAGGATGAGGGCATTCTCTGTGGCCGCACCAACCCTCTGGAATGGGTTGCCCACCGAGCTCTGGATGGCCCCCGACCTCCGCACCTTCCGCGCCGACCTAAAGACATGACTCTTCCACCAACTTCGCTGATCTGCCGCGGATTTTTAACTTGGGGATTTGGGGATTTTAAATTGGTTTTAATATTGATGTCAGCACTTCAACCTGCATTTATTCTAGTGCTGACATAAGAAGGAGAAGAGGGGGCAGCTGGCAAGAGGACTCTTGACTTCTCACCTACTTATTTTCCCTGAAGATAATATCCCCTAGGAGATGAGATGGGAGGGGGGGACATTCCTGGGAGCTGAAGTAGTAGATATTTTTAATTTTCACTTATTGTCGGATTGTTTTATTGTTGTGAGCCGCCCCAAGTCCTACGGGAGAAGGGCAGCATATAAATCTGACTAAATAAATAAATAAATAATACAAGGTTGTAAAATGGGTGCCGAAACTCACTTAACAACTATGTGGCCTTAGCGATGGGAATTTGGCCGCAATTCTGGTCGCAAATCGAGGACTACCTGTATGACTTAATAAATTGGGATTATCGACTTCATCATCTATGCAACCTTCCTCCAACTCCTCTGTCAAATATAGGACACTTTAAATTGTGGAAAACACACACACACACAGAGAGAGACAATATTCCCTTTGTTTTCTCTTCTCTAGGAAGAGAAACATTTCAAGATCCATCTTGAGCAGGGAGAACCATCTGATGAATGGACGCCTTTTAGAGATAGGAGCCAGCTCTCGGTTGTTACGTTCTTCCACCCAAAAAAAAAGATGCTTTCCACATCAACAAAGGCCACGTTATGTGCGCAGAGAATCATGCCTACAATCTGCAAAAGGAGATTTGCTTCCCAGGGCTCTCTCGAATCTTAATTTCAAGGGGAGAGTAGCAGAAAGAAAGCAGTCCGAGTTAATTGGAACTAACTGTTCAGTGGAAATGCAATTAAATTATGCTGGAATTCATCAAGCCCACGAAATCCTCCTCGTGGCTCTCGGTCCGTCCCAAAGAGGCTCGGCAGCCAATCTGTCTCGCTCTCCTTTTGTGGCCTGGAGCAATGCCACTATTGTGAGATGGAATTCAAGGACGCCGTTCTGGAGACCAGACGGCAAAGCTCGCCCATTGTCCGATTTCTGTAGAAACCCCAAAAATGCCTTTGGCTTAACTTTCTGTCCTGTTTCGGCTTTTCAAGTCAATTTGACAGCCTGGGGGTTTCATTATTATTTTATTTTTTATTTATTTATTTATTTTTTGGCCACCAGACGGCGAAATTTGTGGGAAGGCTATGCAGCTCGTCGGAATTATTGACGGATTGTTTTCTAATCCCCGAAATTAAAAAGCGGAGGGCATTTTGATAGTCGCTCCTAATTGAGGAGCTCAGTTTGAAGCCCAGAAGCCTCCTGCAACCACTCGGCCTTGGCTGAGCCTTCCCAAAATTATTTGGCTTTACATATTTGTCTTTTCAAATAGTTCTGTTAGAATGTCCCAATACACCAAAAGTATGAGAAAATTGAAGGGGGAAAAAAAAAAGAGGGTGGGGGGAAATAAGAAGCTGGGAAATAAGAGCATATTTGTTTACATATTTGTCCCTTTTCTATCCCTCAAACTTTCCTTCCAATTTTCAAGGCAGCGAATGTAGCTCTCCCTCTTATTTTTCCTACACAACAACCCTGCAAGGCAGGCTGGCCTGAAAGGAACCTGGAGATTTATGACTTCCTCTCGTTATTATATCCCTATAGGGGGAACTAAAGTTTTCTTGGGGCTCCCCAATGCCCATATGACAGCCTTCACATCACACCGCTCTGTTAATGCAACAACACCAATGTTAATAACGTAAATAAATTGGCTCTGTTTTGAGAATTCAGCTCCTGGCACAGCGGAGAAGGCCCCCCCTTTCTGAAAAGGGACCTTCTGTTTCTGCAGTAGCGACTACGACTGCCCCCCACCCCCAGCCCGACTGAATCGGGGACAAAGCTCCAATCCAACAGCTTTTAAATTTATATTCTATCCCCGGAGAGGATTTTGTGGGATTCCTGGTGCAGATCCCCAGCATAATGAAATTCCTGCTAATCCATTTTTAATTGCCTCCTCCTCCTCCTTCAGCCGTGGTTTTTGTTCAGAGATCCTGATGGGACAGCTGCACTTCAGGCCACAGAGCAGCCCGGGGGGGGAAGGTGTGGGGATCGAAAATGAAGCAGGACCAAATTCGCAAGCGATGGTCTTGCACTGAACGCGACTGGTTAGGAGATCCCAGCTGCAATGCTGCTTGTTCCAAAGCCGACACCTTTTTCAACATTGCAAAAGGGTAACAGAATAGAAGAAAGGGAAGAACAGTCTTGGAAGGGACCTTGTAGGTCATCTAGTCCAACCCCCCCCCCGCCGCCCAAGCAGGTGACCCTGCACCATTTCTGACAGAGGGCAGTCCAGTTGCTTCTTGAAAGTTTCCAGGGATGAAGCTCCCACAACTTCTGAAGGCAACTTCTATATGCACGCCCCCCCTCTTAGGAATGGGGTGAGGTCAACCGTAGACAGTCTAAGGTTAAAGTTATGGGGGTTGGGGGAAGAAACTACAGAGTCAGGTAGTGTTGTGGCCCGTCAGCGGCCTGTGCGTATTGTAGCTGATTCCGACAGCGAGGAGGCTAGTGTGGTGCTGCGCCAGCAGCCTGTGCAGCTGGCACCCGAGTCAGACAATGAGGAAGCTGGAGAAGATGTGGGGGATTCAGCCAGGGCCTTCAGAAGCTCCCATAAGTGAAGAGCACGAAGAGGAGGAGCCTCTTCTCGATGCACGGGCGCGCAGAGCTGCCAAAAGGCAGGAGTGGCTCCTCAGGAGGAGGTCTCCTCGAGAGTAAGGCTTGGGGCTAATTGGCCACTCTCTTAACTTATTTAAGGAGGAACACCGACTGAAGCAATTTGTAGGGAACAACTTTAGATCATTCTCCTTCGCGTCTGGATTCTCTGCAAATTGCTTCTGGGCTTTCTGCCAACCTTAGTAAGATTGTGATTACTTTATCTTTGGTTTCTTGTAGGCTGTTAAGAACGTTTATTAACAGCCTTTGTTTGGAAAAGACTGAGTTATTTTAGTACATTTAAGTTTTATACAGACTTTGTGTGTGCTGCGTTCTTTGGGGTCCGTAGCTGGGGCAGAACAGGTAGTGCATTCCAGGCATTGACCACTCTGTTACTGAAGTCGTATTTTCTGCGATCGAGTTTGGAGCAGTTTACCTTAAGTTTGTATCTATTATTTGCTGGTGTATTGTTGTGGTTGAAGCTGAAGTAGTCATTGACAGGAAGGACATTGTGGCCGATAATTTTGTGTACTACGCTTAGGTCAGACCGAAGGCGGCGTAGTTCTAAATTGTCTAAGCCCAAAATTTCAAGTCTATCTTCAAGGAATGTCAGTCCTTCCCTTCCCCACCATCCAGTCAGAGCTGAAGAAGCTTCTTGGATGAGAAGCGAAATGTCTTCAAAAGAAAAAAAAAACCAGAAAGGTTTTCCAGTTGCCTCCTGAAAAAAAGTCCACCTTTGGGACTTCGACTGGATTGCCACGCTGTTCTCCGTTTTTTAAAGCTTGGTGCAACTTAAGCTGCCATCTGCAATTCGCCCCTTCCTGCATTAGAAGTTTTGGCAACAGCTCTTTGACTCCTGCCGTTAAAGGAGGAAGCAAGAAGCGGAAGTTATCAGCCACTGTCAGCCGATGGCAAGATAAGCAGACTCTGCACGCAGCAGGACCGACCTCAGCTTCCTCCCTAAGTTGTGTGGGGCCAACCCAGCAACTCTGCCTCTACGGAAGTCAAGCTGCAACTGTGCAATTTCCAAATCATGCACAGCCCGGCGTTATTGTGGGTGTGGGGGAGAGGAGCACACGGGGCAAAATGCATGGCTTACGTTTTTGCAAATGCTAACCAGAGCAACTACTAGAGGACGGGAGTGGGTGTGTGTGAAAGGGTTGCAGGGAGTTGAGAGGACTACTGTCAAATCTGCTAGTCCAGGGAACAGAAAGTAATTTTTCTGGAATGGGAAGGCCTCACTGGTGGGGATGAATGCACAACGATAGGTTTTCTGCACACACAAACATACACAGACACACAGACATTCGGTACAGCAGAAAAGCCTGCGAGTACGTTAATATCTCCGGAAGGCCGAAGACACAGGGGTGTCAAACTCCAGGTCCGGGGGGTACTTAGATCTGGCCTGCGGGGCTGCTCTGGAAACAGTGAAGGACCCAGCCTGCAGTGCTTTTGCCAGCAAAAACAGGCTCCTGAGCTCCGTGTTCAGCTGCGACGGCCTCCTGAAATCCTCCGCCAGTGTCGGAGGGTTGCAGGAGGCCGTCGCAGCCGAAAACGGAGCTCGGGAGCCTGTTTTTGTCGGCAGAGCATTTGGGCCACCAGAGTTTTCACTGGCAGAGGGTTGCAGGAGGCCGTCGCAGCCGAAAATGGAGCTCGGGAGCCTGTTTTTGTCGGCAGAGCATTTGGGCCACCAGAGTTTTCACTGGCAGAGGGTTGCAGGAGGCCGTCACAGCCGAAAACGGAGCTCGGGAGCCTGTTTTCGCTGGCAGAGCATTTGGGCCACCAGAGTTTTCACTGGCAGAGGGTTGCAGGAGGCCGTCGCAGCCGAAAACGGAGCTCGGGAGCCTGTTTTCGCCGGCAGAGTGTTTGGGCCACCACAGGTGCCCCCGACATGAGTGACGTCAAGCCCACTCTGCCCCCCCCCCCCCCCCCCGAGGTCAAACACAACCCTGATGCGGCCCTCAATGAAATCGAGTTTGACAGCCCTGTTCTAGGAGCTGCAATAAGCGGTCGGCTTGTCCTTTCTAAGGGAAGAAATGTGATTCTGATGGCCAGGAAATCAATCCCAGCCTTTCTCCCGAGCCCATCGGCAGCTCTCTCTGTTTTCTCAAACAGGAAGGAGACCCATGGCAACTCAAGAGGAACAAGGCTTTGTGTTGCAAAGAAGGAGGATTCCGTTGCCAAGGGGAGGAGGAGCCAGGCTGATCCCTTCACATCCCTGGGTGCCAGATGTCTCTCTCTCTGTGTGTTTGTGTTTGTGTATGTGTGTGTACACAAGTTTCTAGAGCTGGTCTTGCAAATTCCTAAGCCATAGAGCTGAGCTGGATGACATCAAAGGTCTGTGGGGACTTTTTTTCTCCGCAGATGCCACAATCCCTCAGGCAGGCATCTGCCCGTAATGTGCACGTGTCATTGTGTACGTATGTGTGCCTACTGACAAAGCCCTTCTCCTCTTACTGTTGTTTCTTAACCGATCACATCTGCCGGCACATAATTCAGAGCTAAGCAATCACGGTTCTGCCTGCCACAAAGCTCTCTATTTTTAAAAACATCCAAGCTGGAAACTCTCTCATAGCAATTAATCCCCAGAGTTGAGCAGGGAGCATCACTCCTAATCCTGAAATGAAACATACATTGCAACCGCCTCGCACAAGAGCATAGGAAGGGAGGGAGGGAGGGAGGGAGGGAGGGAGAACAGAAGGAAGGAAGGAAGGAAGGAAGGAAGGAAGGAAGGAAGGAGAGAGGGAGGGAAGGAGAACAGAAGGAAGGGTGGGAGAGAGGGAGGAAAGGAAGGAGAGAGGAAGGAGGGGAGGGAGGGAGAACAGAAGGAAGGAAGGAAGGACGGGAGGAAGGAAGGAGGGAGGGAGGGAAGGAAGGAAGGATGGGAGGGAGGGAAGGAGGGAGGGAGGGAAGAAAGGAGGGAGGGAGGAAAGGAAGGAAGGGAGAGAGGGAGGAAAGGAAGGAGGGAGGGAGGAAAGGGAGGGAGGAAAGGAAGGAAGAAAGAAAGAAAGAAAGAAAGAAAGAAAGAAAGAAAGAAAGAAAGAAAGAAAGAAAGAAAGAAAGAAAGAAAGAAAGAAAGAAAGAAGGGGACCAGACTCAGATTCAGTGGCAACTGAGTGCCCTAGTAAACCTGAAGGGCCAGGTCAGAGACAGATGGGAAAGGTTTCTCCAAGTGGTCTCTAGGAGTTGAAAATGGTGGCACATAATCAATCAATCAATTTTGGGGAAAGAGGAGGAGGAAGCTCTAGGCGAAGTATGCCTTAAACTAAAGGAAAGGCAGGATATAAATCTAACAAATCTATGTACACCTATTATTTTTTCTTCTTTCTGAAACTATACGAGGAGACCCCACTGGTGGAAATTCATGGGAAAAAGAGCTTCTTCCGTTCACCCGTCCCTCGGTCTGATCCTTTCCGATCTTACCTGCTTTCTCATCCGCGGTGTCCCCTTCGGATGTGGGCTCGGCCTCCGTGACCTGAATATCAGGCAAAGTCGTGGGTTTAATGACAGACCTGGGGATGAAAGAGAGAAAGAAGTTAAGAGGAAGAAGAAGGATTATTCAGTATCGTTGTCACCTTGGGTTATTTATAAAAAATAAAAAATAAAAAAAAGGACAGGGATAAAATAAAAAATAAAATAAAGATTCCAGGAATTGGCATGGAAGTTCTCATTGGATGGTATTTTAATATTTAGGTCAATCTTCCCTCACTTCCTCCAGTCCAAACCTTTATTTAAGTCAAAGATTACAGACAGTCATCTTGAAACGAAAACAGGAAAATTAAAACACGCAAAAAAAAGAATTATATGTTATCACACAAAGGGTCATAACTGCAGGTTTGGGGAATTTTCCGCACAAAACTCTGTCCTTCCAAAAAGGCCAGGCTGGCCCAAGGCTATTCCTGGAACTGCGGATCTCGGTCCAAGCCCCCCAGTGAATTTCCCCAGAGCAGCGGTCTGCAACCTTAAACACTCAAAGAGCCATTTGGACTCATTTCCCACAGAAAAGAAAATACCGGGAGCCACAAAACCTGGGTGGGAGTGGCCAACTCGATGTCAGTCACTTCCACCAGTCACATGACACCCCCCCAAGCCATGCCTACCCCAGGTCATTAGGGCAGAGAACCGGTTGTTAAAAAACACCGGGAACCACAAAATCCTTTTGACATCTCTCTCTCCCTCCCTCCCTCCCTCCCTCCTCCCTCTCTCTCTCCCGCTCTCTCTGTATCTCTCTGTCTCTGCCCTGGCCACTTCTCCATCCCCTGCCATCACCCTTATCTTCTCAGGCCAGGCGAGGGGCGGGGACAGCTAGTGGTGGGCTCACCCGACAGGGAGCCACAGCCGACGGCCCAAAGAGCCACATGTGGCTCCAGAGCCGCAGGTTGCTGACACCTGCCCCAGAGTGTGCTAGGAATCCCTTGTAATTCTTGTATCACAAAGATCGCTAAACTTTGGTTTAGTGGTTAAGGTATCAGGAGAGAAAGCAGGAGACTGTGAGTTCGAGTCTCGCCTTAGGCACGAAAACTCCGCTGGGTGACTTTGGGCCGATCCCTGTCTCAGCCCAACCCACCGAACAGTGGGGAAAATAGGAAAATAGGAGGAGGAAGGGGGGGTTGGATGATATGTTCATCGTCTTGAGTTATTTATAAAAACAACAAAGGTGGCGGAGAGAGATCTGGAGGGAAGGAGGGAGATGGATAGATAGATGGATGGATAGATAGATGATAGGTAGGCAGACAGATAAGATACCCCACCTTTATATACACATACACAAATGATGGAAAATATAAACAAACAAATGTTGGGGGGAAAAATATATGATCAGGTGAGAAAGGTGGGGGGGGGCGTGTCAGGGGGCCAGAGTTCCAAAGGGGCTTCCTGTCCTCCCCAAAGTCCTGAATCCTCTCCTCCCCACCCCACAGCAAGCTATCCGAGTCCCTTCACCCCTGAGAAAAGCCCATTCAGAGCGGGGGGGGTCTGGGGCAGAGAACAGCTGCTCCTTCACATTTCCCCTCTGAACAAAGGAGCCGTCAGAAGTGGCGGGGGAGGGGCAGACCTTTACCAGCAACCTGTCATTAGCCTTTGTTTTGGGGCACAAGCCATGACTAATGAGACGGTGCACGCAGGTGTACTGACCCGTGGGCGCCCAAGTTGCAGCCAGAGTGCCAGGAGGAGGAGGAAGGAGGGGGCGCAGGCGCTGGTTGTCGTCCTGCATCTGGAGGCGGATGGGCCGGCAGAGACCCCAGGAGATGTTCAAGGACCCCTCCACAATGAACTCACCTTCTTCCTGCGTGGGGGGAAGAGCAAGAGACCCTCAGCCAAGAGCAGAGCCTGGCCGGCCAGAGGGGGAGGAGCCGGACCGGACAGCTGAGGGAGCCCCCCATTTCCTCTTGTCTTAGTTTCCAAAAGATCAAGGATGTACATATCTATCCCCATATATATGTATACAGGTAATTAGGTTGATAGATTGATAGAGGATAGAGGATAGATGAATGATAGATGATAGCTGATAGATAGATGATAGATGATGGATGGATGATAGATGATAGATAGATTATAGATAATGATAGATGATAGATTATAGATAGATGATAGATGATAGATAGATGATAGATGGATGATAGATTATAGATAGATTATAGATAATATGATAGATAGATGATGATGGATGGATGATAGATTATAGATTATAGATAATGATAGATGATAGATAGATGATAGATGGATGATAGATGATGATAGATTATAGATAGATGATAGATAGATGACGGATGGATGATAGATGATAGATAGATGATAGATAGATAGATGATAGATGATAGATGATAGATGATAGATAGATGATAGATAGATAGATGATAGATAGATGATAGATAGATGATAGATAGATTATAGATAATGATAGATGATGGATGGATGATAGATTATAGATAGATGATAGATAGATGAAGATAGATGGTGATAGATTATAGATAGATTATAGATAATATGATAGATAGATGACTTTGCTTGTCAGTAGGTCTCAAAGGGGATCATGTAACCCGGGACATTGCGATGGTCGTAAGTACGAACCAGCTGCCCAGCGTCTGAATTTCGATCAAGTGACCCCGGGGATGCTGTGAAGGTCGTAAGGGCGAAAAACGGCCGTTCAGTCGCATTTTTCAGGGCCGCTGTAACTTTGAATGGTCACTAAGTGAACTGTCGTAAGTCGAGGACTGCCTGTAGGCGCAGATCCAAGCCGTGTGGCCTTTTGCAACTGACAGGTGAAAATTTTATCCATGCGCACATTTTTCTACATGTCCGAGTTGTGGCCAGTTTATGCCATAATATTTTCAATTCCGATGATTGTATCATAATAAATGCTTGTTGCGACTTTTGTATTATTATAAACTCATGCAGCGAAATTTCCTCTGCCCCTAATTTCTCGCCTGTTTGTGAGCCTGGGGACATCGTCCCTTTTCCTACCTCTCGATGCCGAAGCTGCAAGTTTTGACCTTCGTAGTACAGGTTGTACGTCTTCAAGTGCAACAGAAGTTCATTCCTGGAAGAAGGGAGAAGAAACAAGGATTAGAAGAAAACAGGGAGTGGGGGGAGGAAGGACAGAAATGCAGGCAACCCTACACTCATGACCACAATTCAGCCCAGAATTGCAGAGGCAGAGAATAGATGGGGGCGGAGCCAGTCAGAATTTTTACTACTGGTTCTCCGAACTACTCAAAATGTCCGCTACCGGTTCTCCAGAACTGGTCAGAACCTGCTGAAACCCACCTCTGATCCTATGACTATCGCTAAGAGTTGTGTCTTATGATTTAGGATGAATGTATTTTGAGGATGACTATGATCATGATTTATCACTTATAGCTTTTAGGTACACTGAGAGCTTATGCACCAGAGACAAATTCCTTGGGTGTCTAATTCACACTTGGCCAATAAAGAATTGTAAAAAGGCAACCGAGTGAGTGAAACCCCCGGTCCTCTTTTTCATGCGTTGAGACCCACAATGTGTGTAAAAATAAAAAAATGGAGGCGGGTTTCAATTGTATTGCCACACTGACTTTTTTGACCCCCCTCCTGCACACACAGCTGATGGGAACCAACCGTCTTCTTAGAAGTCCTGCGATGGGTCGCTCCTTTCTTTCTGTCCCAGGAAATGCACCCACCAATTAATGGCACGGAGGGGGCTGGGGGCGGGCTCAGAAAAGGCGAGATGATGGACATGGCAGCACGATTAAAGCCCCGCCCATTTGCACACGCCTGGAAGATTGGCAGGCGAGCAAAAAGGGGCGGAGCTTTGCTCACTCTCTTGAGCTTGCCATCTTGCCTGCTTTAGACCCTCATCCGCTCAATGAGCCTACCGCAGACTTGCACAGAGAGACAACGGAGGGGATGACTTACTTTGAGATGAATTTGTCTTGCCCGCAAGGGACCAGGGTGGTCTCGCTGTCAAACTCCATCCCGGGAATTGCATCAGGAACTCAGGCCTGGGTTTGAAGACAACAACAAAAAAAGATCTACTTTGCAAAGAATCTCAGCATCCAGAAGTGACTTAATGCAGTGACAAACCCTAAATCATGGTTGGTGTGTGTTGATCGATCAGCAAAGTCCAAAAGTGCAGGAGAAGAGAGGGATGTTTAAGGACCAAGGGATGAGTAGGGTGTCCGCAGTAGCTTTTTATTCCTAAAATGGGCAGGTGGCAAGAGGTGAACTCTTGAAACCTGCTTTTGCTCTACAGACCAGGATTTCTCAGCCTTGCCAGATTTAAGATGGGTGGACTTTAATCCTAAATTGCATTAACAGAGGGATACAATCAAGATCAAGGGAGGCACTAATACCACTCTATAAAGCCTTAGTAAGACCCCACTTAGAATCCTGAATCGAGTTTTGGTCCCCACACTATAAAAAAGATGTTGAGACTCTAGAAAGAGTGCGGAGAAGAGCAACCAGGATGATGAGGGGAATCACTTTCTTGTACGCCTTCCTGGTTCACGAAATATTCTTGATTCAATTCTTTGTAGTTCTTCTCCCTGGCTTCTATTATTCACAGGTGTCCACAAGACAGAGATGATTATTCATTTATTCTCCTTATTTGCAAAACCCCTAAAGCAGGAAGCCGAGCAGCGTAAGGCCGGCGCTACATCCGCAAAGACATTGTTTTTTCCAAAGGAGTAAAAGGGAGCAGAAGTACTAATAATATCACAATGCCCCAGCAAAGCAGCTGCATTCTCCACTCTGCACTTCCTGCCGGGTCTCATAAATTAGCACAACAAAACGCATGCCGTGGCCAGGAGGCTCCACCAGACCTTTGGGGAGCCTGGCTAGATGCTTCCAGATGAAGGGGGGCATCAGAGGGGGTATCAGAGCCAGAGGAAAGGGAGCCCAGACACCCATGAAAAACAGGGTCTCTCTAGTCCAAATTCCACGTACGGAAGCCAATTGGGTTGGTAGTGGAGTCAACGGATGGACAAAAATGCCAAATCCAGTCTAAACATCTGGCTGACTTTGCCAACAACAACAACAACAACAACAACAATAATAATAATAATAATAATAATAATAATAATAATAATAATAACAACAACAACAACAAACTAATTTTATTTATTTACTAAGTTTATTAGGCACTACAAACTAATGCCATGAAAGCAAAGATACAAAAATCCACCGACAATCCAAACTGCTGACTTTGCAACAACAAAGTCGAAACTGTTTCACATTTCATATGTGAATGCAGCAAAATCGCACAAACTGATTACAAAGCTAGACATGACTGAGTTGCTAAATTAATCCACTGGTCATTATGTAAAAAAATACAACTTTCCTGTATCCAAAAAGTCATGGGAAGATAAAGTGGAAAAAGTTATAGAAAATGAGAAGGTGAAGATCTTGTGGGACTTTCGAATACAGACGGATCGTCACTTGGAACACAACACGCCAGATATCACAGTTGTCGAAAACCGAAACGTACAATTTATTGACATCGCGGTACCAGGAGATGCCAGAGTCGAAGAAAAAGAACTGAAAAAAATCATGGAATATCGCGACCTGGTCACGGCTATGGATGAAACATGTCACAATGATACCCATTGTCATCGGGGCACTTGGTACCATGTCCAAGAATTTCACAAAACACTTCAAGAAATTGCAGCTTCCTGCAATAACACCAGCGGAACTGCAAAAAACTGCGCTACTCGGAACATCGTACATCTTAAGAAGGTCCTTGGTTGATCCCTAGGACGCTGGCAGCAACCCATATCAACTATTAGCACCAGTCAATGCTATTTGTGATGCATTTTTGAATGTTCAGTTGACTGAGTTTCATGTTTAATGAATAAAGTAAATAATAATAATAATAATAATAATAATAATAATAATAATAATAATAATAAGTTAGCAGATGCATAGGACATCTGCATAGGGGAATTTGCTTTCCCAAGCAAAGAATTTTGGTTAATCCAGATGTTTGTTCTCAGATTACAATAAATCGGCTTTCCTTGTTGAGCGCGTGGGTTGGCCTTCAACTCCATTATTCCCGATCCTGGACCCATGGAAGCAAAAACCTGCCCTTTTGCATCTATGGGAGAAGAGAGCAGATCAGAGCCTGGACAACGTTCTGCCTTCTCTTATCTCCTTCAAAACAATGATTCCTCCCTCCCAAGAGACCGCGAAAGAAGAGACAGTTCCCAGAAATATCTGGGAAACCTCTGCCCTTTTTCTGGATGTTTTAGGGAGAATCTGACCTTCCTTCCCCCAGAGTTTGCTGGCTTGCTTCTGCGATGAGCACTATAAACATTCGAAAAAGCAGCAAAGCTTTTTTTCCAAAAATGCAGATTCTGGATGGGCTGAATTCAAATCAAAGGAAAGTTATAACGTGATGCCACAATAAATGGGGGTGGATGGGGGGCTTTAGAAATGGGTGCAGGCAAGAACAGAGTGGTCACTATGGGAAAGGGCCCAATGGGCCTCGCCATCTCCCTGGGCTCCTCTGCCTGGCATCTTCAGAGGGACATAAGGCATCACCTGCTCTGTCGCATCTTTGAGGAAAGGATGCAAGTGATGCCATTTGTCATTCAAGGGAAGATGTCACAACCCCCCTGTACTGCAGCCCCCTCCCTCCCCATCATGTCATCTTCCCCTCACAGTTGCATGAGCTCCTCTTCGCCCCTGGGTACAATGGGGGAGAGACCCACTGATTTTCAGGGAAAGATCTGAGTTCAGGGACAGCCTCCAATTCCGAACCTGGCAAAGGCTCTTGTTCCCTGCTCTCTACACTAGAGGAGGCCGGCAGAAAATCAGGCAGCAGCCATTCCAAAATGCATCCGAGGCACCCAGGGTGGATAAAAATCAATGATTTTTTTTAAAAAAATCAAAAAAATCGGATTTTTTTAATTTAAATTGGATTTTTTTTTATTTAAATCAGATTTTTTTAAATTTAAATGGAATTTATTTTAATAAAAAACTTTTGGGGTAAAAATCTATCGTAAGATAGTTTTCTATTTCAGATACATAAATAATAGGAGCCTTGGTAGTACAGTGGTCTAAGCACCCTGTTATTAACACAGCTGCCTGCAATTTCTGCAGGTTCGAATCTCTCCAAGGCTCAAGGTTGACTCAGTCTTCCATCCTTTCTAAGGTAGGTAAATTGCCCCCCAGTTTGTGGGGGCAATAAGCTGACTTTGTATAAATATACAAAAGGATGAAGGCTATTGCTTAACGCACTGTAAGCCGCTCTGAGTCTACGGAGAAGGGCGGCATATAAATCAAATTAAAATAAAAAAATAAAAAATTTAGTTTATTCAGCATGAAATGGAGCTTCGTTACGTAGCATGAGGCTGTATATTCTGCAATACTGGGACTATCGGTGAGTCAACAGCGGGTCAAAAGAGTAGCAGAGATGACAGTTGCTCTTTAAAAATTGTGATTTAAATCAAGTTGATTTAAATCAAGTCTTTTTACTAATGATTTAAATCATGATTTAAATCGACTCGATTTAAATCAAATCCACCCTGGAGACACCCTATTTTTTTTTTTCCAAGGAAACACCAATGTTGGTGGCCACAAAATCCCTGGGAAACCATTTGCATGCAACCGTGAAATCATCCTTCAGTGTCATCGTCCCAGGACTTAAGAACAAGGGGCCGGCCTGCAAAGAGAATACCAAGTTGCACAATTATCCGCGACACACACAAAACCCCTGTGAGAAATGCAGGCGTACCACGTGCAAGGATGGCAGCTGCTTGGCCTCCGAGTGAGGAGGCCTTTGTCCTTCGCCAGCAGACAGCCCAGCATCTGCCAGGGGTTCTCCCCACACCAGACTCCCCAAGACCCTGCTGGGAAATGTCTCCGAAGCACCAGGAAAGAGACTGTGAAGCAGAAGATGGTTAGGGAAGGGAAGGCTAAAACGTAGCTGCAGGATTTGGGTTTGGCTAGTTTGGAGAAGAGAAGGATTAGGGGGTGACATGATACCCTGTTTCCCCGAAAATAAGACCTCCCCTGATAATAAGCCCAATCGGGCTTTTGAGTGCATGCGCTAAAATAAGCCTCCCCTGAAAATAAGCCCTCCCCGAAAATATCTAAATGCAGAGCTGGAAATCAGGTAACACTGCAAGAGGAGCCTCGCACCCCAAAATAATAAGACCTCCCCGAAAATAAGGCCAAGTGCTTATTTCGGGGTTCAAAAAAATATAAGACAGGGTCTTATTTTCGGGGAAACACGGTAGCAGGCTTCCAATATTTGAGGGGCTTCCACAAAGGAGAAGGAGTCAAGCTATTTTCCAAAGCACCTGAAGGCAGGACAAGAAGCAACGGATGGAAATCCCAAAGGTGCTTTTTCAAGAGGCAACTGGACTTTCTGGTTTTTCTTTGAAGCTGCGTTCCTTCTCATCCAAGAAGCTTCTTCTGAGTCTTCAAAGAAAAACCAGAAAGTCTAGTTGCCTCTTGAAAAAGCACCTTTGGGACAATCATGACCTGGATGACTGAGAAGCTCCATAGACAACGGATGGAAACTAGAGAAGTAGAAAGTAGAGAAGCAACCTGGAATTAAGGAGGAACTTCCTAACAGTGAGAACAATAAACCGGTGGAACTGCTTGCCTCTAGAAGTTATGGATGCTCTATCACTGGAGGCTTTCAAGAAGAGCCTGGACACTCTTCTGAGATGGTACAGGGTCTCCTGTTTGAGCAGGGGGCTGGACTAGAAGACCTCCAAGGCTCCTTCCAACCCTATTGTTTTGTTATCTTGTTGTTCTTCTAACAGTCTCCAGCAATATTGGGAAATACGGAAGCATGGAGAGCAGAAGCTCCTTGCAAACATCAAGGGGTTTGTCCTGAGTCTAAAAGAGACACAAGGTAAGATTAAGAGTTCTTGAAAAGGTATGAGACTCACAGATGTCTTTGACTGCCCATTCCTTCTCAAGAACGAGATGACCTTCCAAGGACAGCAACAAGGCACAGTAAAACAAAAGGTAAGGTGACAGCCATAATGGT